ATTCCTGAGAAGTCCACGGCACAGACCATGTGTCGGCCATGGGAGGCTGGCAGCGGGGCCACAAGTTCACAAGCGAGAAGCCAGCCTGACAGGAGCCCCAGGCCCACAGCAGGACTTGCTCGGTTCCGTGATTAGCTGGCCGTGTGGACGTCCTTGGACGGCTGCCTGTCCTGGGCCAGAGCGGGACCGGGGAGCGCGAGGGCCGGGGAGGCTGAGGCCTGGAGCCAGCCTCTTGGTGCCCAGGCCTCCGCGCCGCTTCCTGCTTCCCCCAGCATGCTGCCCCGCCTGCGGCCACCTGCCCATGCACCTGGTGGGACGGCCGTCTCCACGCTCCTGTTCTGAAGGATGTTCAGGGCCAGTGATGGGCTGAAGGTACGGAACTGGTAGGACAGCAGGGCCAGGAACCGCCTCCGGAAGTCTGCACAGGACGCCCAGTCAGTGGCCTCGCCGCACCCAGACCCTGGCCCCACCACATCACCTCTCCAGAAGGCTGCGAGCCAGGGGCCCCGGTCAGCGTCCTCAGCGTCAGCCAGTGTCTTGAGCATGATGCAGGAGTGCTCCCCGGTCAGGTCATTCTGAGACACACACCCACTCGGCTCCCAGAAGCCCCTGGTGGAGGGCCTGGCCCTGGCCCAGGGTGGGCAGCCAGAGAGGGCACAGCACCCAAGGCATCCCGTCCCCTACCCCAGTGCCCTCACTGCACTGCTCAGCCTGCCCCATCCCCGGCCTTGGCACAGTGTCCCTCAGAAGGAGCGGCCCGCACACAAGGCACAACTGCGCTGCCCCGGCAAATGCCCCACAGCCCACCGGCAGCCGGGCTGCAGGTGCGGGCTGCTCTAGGTGCTGAGGTAGCGCGTGAGACCGGGTGTGTCTTCACTGCCCGACCACAAGGCCCTGCCCACAGCAGTATCTCACTGTCGGACCCGAGAACGTTCCCAGGACAGAACCTGCCCTGAGTCAGAGCCAGCAGCGCACACCTCGGTCCCTATGGTCTACGGGCGCCCCCCGGCCTGCTCCTGGTCTGCCTCCTGTGGCCGACAGCCCTGAGCAAACGCAGCGACGAGCACCCGTCCACACGCCACTCCAGGCCTGCCAGAGTGCAGCCCAGCCCTGGCCACGTCACGGGCCCAGCTGAGCTCAGGACACTGACACGTGTTCCTTCCCGGCCTTCGCTCGTGGGCAGGGCCTTCCTCCTCCCCCATAGCCAGCTGCCCTCCACCTCTCCTCCTGGCCCTCACCCACCCCCGCCACTCAAGGACAGCTCCTGTGGCCTGTCCCTGCCCCACGTTGAGTGCAGGGCCTCTGCAGGACTGCACCTAGCCAGCGCATCAAGTGCCCATGACAAGCCTTGCACTGCCTCGTACCCGCCCAGCCCCGCTCAGGTGGCAGCCACGTGGACAAGCCCAGTGTCAGCTGTCCCCATCCGAGAGACGTCCCCATGCAAGTGACGCTCCACACAGTGCCCGCTCCTCTTCCGGACGTGTTTCTGACCCTGCCCTGACGCCCTGCTCCCCTCTCCCCTGGGCTCAAGGCTCCGTGCCCTCCTCCCTCACCATGTGAACGTCCAAGGCCCCTAGCCCCTGAACACAGCAAGGCAGGGACAGGGCACGCAAACCCCAGCCCTATGACACGGACCCTGACGAGCTGCTGACACCAGAGCGACGCCGGCTGATCGCATCCTCGGCACGATCCTTCAGCCAGATGCCCACCCCACGCCCCGTCTCCATGTCCACTTCTCCTTCCGGACCCACTCCCTCCGAGCGAGCCCTTCCGACGGCACCCAGTGTCCGCAGCCTGAAGTCCAGGCCCCGCCCTACACCTTCCGAGGCCCTCCGGGCCGAGCCCACCCTCCCAGATGCCTTGCTCACCGGGGTCTGCCTGAGATAGACAGGGACAAATCCAGCCCGCTTCCAGAACCTGCAGAGAAAAGAGGGGCTGCCAGGGGTGCCCGGGACGCAGCTGAGCAAGCCAGGCAGTGTGGGGGAGGTGGGCAGGGGGCACCAGGGCACCGCGCTGGAAGGGGGCAGCCGACCACTCACTGCGGGAGGCCGGGGGTCAGCCCGTAGGAAACCCCCAGGTAGTCCAGGCGCTCGGCAGGCCTCTCGCTCAGCCTGAGGAGGAGAGGCGGCAGGTCCTTCCGGGGGCTGATGACTTCTTCCAGCAAGCCGACGGCCTGCAGAGCGAGACGGGAGGGCGGTCAGTGTCATGGCAGGGGACAGGCCACCACACAGCAAGCCCACACAGCAATGTCACAGGCACCCCACCACTGCGAGCTCGGGCCGAACGCAGACATAGCTTAAGGGGTTTCTAGGCTCAATCCTGTCCTGCCCA